TCATCTAAATTTCTCGATTCTGTTAATATTTCAAATTTATCGGATTTATTTTCGTTTGATAATAAAAAAGGATTGTCATCTCCTCGTGGTAGAGGAGGTGGAATAACTACACTTTTTTCGTTGTGTTCCTAAATAATTGTAATAGTATTATGTTAATTCGCTTACATTTTCAATATTAAATGCTTTAAAAAAAAATTACAATACCTTATCTAAATTTCCCGATTCTGTTACTATTTCAAATTTATCGGATATATTTTCGTTTGATAATAAAAAAGGATTGTCATCTCGTGGAGTAACTACACTTTTTTCGTTGTGTTCCTAAATAATAGTAATAGTATTATGTTAGGAAGTTCGCTTACATTTCGATAATTAAGTGCTTTAAAAAAAAAAAATTTACTATATACCTCATCTAAATATCCCGATTCTGTTATTATTTCAAATTTATCGGATATATTTTCGTTTGATAATAAAAAAAGATTGTCATCTCGTGGAGTAACTACACTTTTTTCGTTGTGTTCCTAATAATAGTAATAGTATTATGTTAAATAAATTAAAAAGTTCGCCTACAATTTTCAATAATTAAGTACTTTAAATAATTACTATACCTCATCTAAATTTCTCGATTCTGTTAATATTTCAAATTTATCGGATTTATTTTCGTTTGATAATAAAAAAGGATTGTCTACAACTGTAACTTTCTTTGCTCTATCATCGAGTGGATAAAAAGACTTTCGCTTCAAAGCTATTATTTCGCATCATAAAGATTAAATAACAATTTAACACATAACGATAATGTAAAATGAATTTGATTGTATTACCGGAGGAGGCAGTCGCATCTGCGTCGCGCAAATCATCGATTAATCTTCTAGTCATATGATGTTCCTAATAAAATTCTCATTATTATTGTAAAATAATAATCCTAAGTTTGCCTTTAAAACTCACTTCTAATGTTTGTAACGAGTTTGCCGATGTTATTTTGCGACGGAATGCCATATAGTATTCCCTTCTTTCCTCTTTTAGTTTTAGTTCCTCAATAAAATTATTTACGTCACCTGAAGAGAACAACTTATCAAAGTTTGATAAGAGTTTCTTCGCTCTTTTTTTCGCGTTCCCATGAACGTTTATGTTTATATCGTCACTAAAACCCCGTAACACTGAATATATTTCTTCCCTCAGAATCTCGATCATATCAGCGGATAATTCACTTTTAGATTCGATATATTTAAGTAAAGAAATAATAGACCAATCTTTAACTGGCGTACGTTGAAGAAACTCGTTCGCAATCGACTCAAACATCTTCAAAGAAATCGTATTAAAAAAAAAAGCTATTATATGTGTCATACGCGTATTATATTTAAAATATAAAATTTTGTAATCTTAATAATTTAAATTATTGGTTAATTATTCATCCAATCGAATTTATCGTCAACTGATCGCGCCACACAAATCTTACGCGTATTATTATCAACTATTTCTCAAGACGCAGTATATTCTTGATATCCTATTGCAATCGTAAAATAATTCGTTTCAGTTTAGAAATTTTTCCGTCTTACCACATGTCAAGCAAATCCCTACTGGCGTATGGCCATTATGTCCTGCGTTGGATGTTTGGTGCTAGTCTCCAGAAATGTCCTTGAGCAAGTATGTTTCAAGGCCTCCCCCTGCATGCTGTTTTCCAGTATACAATTGACTTTCCATGCTTCTTTTGTCAAATCGGTCTATTTCTCAATTCCCTGGATCAAATTATACGTAAGTTTTGTCTGCCATTACGATGTCATCTATTAAAAACTAGTAAGCCAAATATTCTCACGAAACTTACACAATATTTACAAAAAAAAAAAATTTGATGCAAATGCCTGAATTGAATGAAATTTATTAATGATTTTTCAGATGAAAATGTATGATGATATCAAAGAGGGTGGGAGTACGCGGATCCTAGGCCACTTAATGCGAGTCCCAGCATTATGTTATTTCTTTGCTCTCTCAGGCTTGTAAATTTTTATGCTATTTGTTTTGTTACTATTACTACTGCTAATTACACACCAATACTCTTTTTTCTACACTAAATTCCGAAATAAATCATCCCACACATATCTACGTCTATCAATATCACTTCCACACACACAAAACCATATAAATTATTAAGTTCCGCAAGAGCACTTCTCTGAGATTAAGTAATTTCGAAATTACACATAAATCTGGGAATTAGCAACTGGTAAGCAATGCAATATTAACCACTAAGATTAATTTTTACAACATCCACTCCGTCTTATATACAAGAAATTTATTGCTTATTTTTTTTTTATCACTTGAATAATACTATGCCAAATATCAAGGTGAAGATGCTTATAGAAAATTTTACTGCGCTGATAGTGCATGTGGATAATATCCCGTCACGGGGAATTATTTTTATGATACTGCGTCTATTGTACGCATGATGATGGTCAGTGATTTTCTCGGCGAAGATCAAAATGCCAGAAGAGTAATATGTCCGGTTTATTTTGAAACCCCTATAAAATGCGGGAAAATCGTGATGACATGTAACTAACCGAGCAATAGACCAACTTACTTTATTATTACTTTGCGGATTATTACTCGTTTGTATAATTGTTGATATTGATGATCTAA